ATGTATATATATATATATGTATATGTATATATATATATATATATATATATATAGGTAGATAGGTATATATTTTCAGTATATATCTATTTGCTGTATATATAGATAGATATATATTTTATAGGTAGATAGGTATATATTTTCAGTATATATCTATTTGTTGTATATATAGATAGATATATATTTTATATATAGATATATATATATATATATGTTCATATTTATCTGTATATAACAGCATACGTTTTTACCTCAATTTTTTTTCAAGTATTAAAACATGGAGTTCATAAAGTTTATAGATAGATTGTATTCATATAATTCTGTGTTAATATACCATTTTAAAGCATTATTCATTACAGTTACAATGCTTGGAGCTAGAGTATGGTGCATTTTGATTATTTTAGGCCTAACTATACATTAGTATGCATAACATACAACATTTTGCAATAACTAATTAAGATCCGATTCGATTTGCTGTCAATTCATTTTATGAATGTTTCTATTTTTGAAAGTGTAAATAAGATCTAAAAGTTGTACAGATGATTGATGTCATTTACGGATAGCAAATGTACAAATAAATATTTCTACCAAATATAGGTTATGTTTGATTATTTTACTGAATGTTTTGTATAGTATTAACAAGGAAATTGACAATGGGAGGGCAAATTCCCAGGGGTGAGGGGGGGGGGGGGGAAGCAGAGCTGTGACATTCCAGTATGTGTTCAGTATCATGTACATCTGTTTCAAAATTTTTCTACAACTTTTAATTTCAATTTATTCGGGTACATAAGAAAAACATACAAGCACAAAAGCTAACATTACGTAATTAAAAAAAAAACAAAAAAAAAACCTGACCATTGGCCCCAGGCAAACCTGGGCGTAACAGAACACTATTGAGGGTAGTCCCAACCAACTTGTTATCAATTCGATTCATGCTGTATGCAGGCCCAGCCCACTCCACCTCCCTTTTTTCAAATTGTAATACAAGGCCTAAAATAATTCTGTGACGAGGAAGTTTAAAAAAAAATAAAAGAAAACCGTAACCAATGTTATATTATGATATATATGATTTTTGTTTTTGTCCCAAAATTATAAAAGAAGAAAAAAAAAATTGCATTTCTGAGCATCCTTGTGTTGTCTGCTTTGTCTGCTGTTGTCCTGTCCTGTTTTGGCTTTGGGTTTTCTGTGTGTTTATTTCAGGGCAGCCCTACACAAGCTCCGCTTTCTGGGTTTCGCCCCTCAAACTTGGCTGTTTATTTTATATATGCATTATTATTACTTTTGAGAAATAAATGTTCTTTTGAACTTGGAACTTGAACACGATGAAGAGAGACATGCAAGATTCAGAATGTTTGAAACAAAAAAGAAAGACACTGAAAAACTTTTGGGCACAGAGTAAATTTCTAATTAAAAATAATAAATGTAGGCCAATGGTCGTTCACAACTAACAACCTAAGCAAGGTTTTCACTCTATTTAGAATCTGGTAGGCCCCAGCGAGTGCTGCAAACGTGATCCAAAAAAATTGGCTTCCTTTATTCTTTTGCTTCTGTTACACAGGGTGGATATGGGTTCAGATTGTTTCCAAAAAACCCCAAAAAGAATGGTGTAAATAGGGCTATTATGAGTGTATACATACATAAATATTGAGTAGTTGCATACATATCTTTTTTTCCACATGAATCGATAAACCGCAAAAAGAAAGGGGGTCGTCCCTCGAGAAAATTTTGATTCTTAGATGGAAGGAAATGATCTTCCTGACTTCCGAGGTGTCTTAATGACTTAAGTTCTTCAAAATTCAAGGTTTTCCCCTCTTGAAAATTGTCAGGCAATTAAACTTTTTCATTCTTAATACAGTAAATAGCCCTATTATGTGTGTATACAGTATACATAAAAATAATTGAGCAGTTGTATACGTATTCTTTTTTCCATGATGAACTCCAAAGAGAAACAGGGGAGGATGTATACAGTATACATAAAAATAATTGAGCAGTTGTATACGTATTCTTTTTTCCATGATGAACTCCAAAGAGAAACAGGGGAGGATTTAAGGGGGGGGGGGGGGGGCCC